TGAACAGGTAACTCAAATACTTACTAGTTCCTTTCACAGCCTTACCGTGTTTATAAATCACACTCTTGCAAACTATTGTAACTAATTGTAACTTTCAGCGGAAATGCTTTTTCAATAAAGACTGAAAGATGTTTAGTTACGGTGAATGTGAAGTAATGTGGCTGTGGTGTAGTTTTTTTTAGGGCCGTCAAACGATTAGTCGCAATTAATCACATCCAAAATACCATTTTGTGCTGCTTAATATTGCATTATATTACGTATATAGAAATATACATGTATATATATTTAAAATATTTATATGTGTGTATATATATATATACACAGCCGTGGTCAGAATTGTTGGTACCCTTGGTAAATATGATCTAAAAAGGCTGTGAAAATAAATCTGCATTGTCAATCCTATTGATCATTTATTTAAAAAATGTACAAAAATCTAACCTTTCATTGAAGAATAAGAATTTAAAATGGGGGGAAATCTCATTGTGAAATAATTGTTGTTCTCTAATACACGTTGGCCACAATTAATGGTACCCTTTTATTCAATACTTTTTGCATCATCCTTTTGCCAAGAGAACAGCTTTGAGTCTTCACCTATAATGTCTGATGAGTTTGGAGAACATCTGACAAGAGATCAGAGACCATTCCTTCATCCAGAATCACTCCAGACCCTTCAGATTCGCAGCTCCATGTTGGTGTTTCTCCTCTTCAGTTCACCACACTCATTTTCTATAGGGTTCAGGTCAGGGGCCTGGAATGGCCATGGCAGAATATTCGTTTTGTGCTCAGTGACCTATTTTTGTTTTTATTATGATGTTTGTTTTGGACCATTGTCCTGTTGGAAGATCAACCACAGCCATTATACGATTTTTAGCATGGACAGTCAGTTTAATTTTTTTTATCTGTTGTTATTTTGATAGAATCCATGATGCCATGTATCTAAACAAGATGTCCAGGACCTCCGGCAGAAAAATACACCAACAACATTAAAGATACAGCAGTATATTTCATTGTACATATGGGGTCTTGAGTGTTTGCTGCTAAAATCTCATTTTTTTAGTTTTATCTGACCATAGAACACAGTCCTGATTTGAAGGGGTCATATGATGTTGCTAAAAAGAACATTCTTTTGTGTATTTGGTGTAATGACATGTGTTTATGCGGTTTAAGGTTAAAAAAACACATTATTTTCCACATACTGTACATTTTTGTTTCTCCTCTATGCTCTGCCTTTCTGAAATGCGTTGATTTTTACAAAGCTCATCGGTCTCAAAAAGCGAGATGTACTCTGATTGGCAAGCTATCCAGTGTGTTGTGATTGGCCGAATACCTCAAGCGTGTGAAGGAAATGTTACGCCCCTCACCATATTGTGATGATGAATCACACAGCGCATTCACAACATGGCGGCTGCAACAACAATACTACAGCAAGAATAAAAGTTACGCCTTATTTCTTTGCGTGAACATTTGGGCGGCGTTATGCAAATCTTCCCACATAGTGATGCAGATATGTGGGGGCGTGTTAGAACGAGCCGTTTTAGGTAGGCGTGGTTGACTCTTAACTTTTAAGAAAATTTGAGACTTTAGTCTTTGCAACTTTACAGATCTTCTTTATGCACCAAGAGCTTGTAACTCTCCAAAGAGAAAGAAAAAATTTAAATCGCATCATATGACCCCTTTAAGGTCAAGTAGTGTCTGGCAAATTAATATGCTGGAGTTTGTTTTTGGATGAGAGCATTTTCTTTTCTTGATTTTTTTCTTGAACCCCTCCCAAACATGTGGGGATGTAGGTGCTGTTTGACATTTTTTTTTAGACTTTCTGACCCCAAGACTCAACTAATCTCTGCTATTCTGCAGCTACGATCCTTGGAGAGCCTTTAGTCACTTAAACTCTCCTCCTCAACGTGCATTAGGACGATATAGACACACGTCCTCTTTCGGGAAGATCTTTAGTTGATTGGAAATTCTTAATTATTGCCCTGATGGTGGAAATGAGAATTTTCAATGCTCTAGCGCTTTCCTTAAAGCCACTTTCTAATTTGTGAAGCCCAATTATCTGTTGCTGCACGTCATATTCTTTGGTTTTACTCATTATGATGGATGATTAAGAGTATTTGGCCTTTGTTTTCCATCATATTTATATTCCTGTGAAACAGGAAGCAATTGCTGGATATTTTCATGTTCATAATCACCCTGGTGTGCTAAAAATTGTAAATATGAATGGGAATATACTTCAGAGATATTTTACATAGGCATTTTACATCATAGGTATTTCTAAGGTTACCAATATTTGTGACCATTGTGTATTAGAGAAAATTATTTATTTCACAATGTGATTCTTTTTTTAATTTATTTTTTCTTCAATTAAAGCTTAGTTTTTAAAATTATTATTATTATTTTAAATGAAAGATCAAATGGATAAACAATGCAGATTTATTTTCACAGCCTTTTTTGATCATATTTACCAAGGGTACCAACAATTCTGACCACGACTGTGTGTATGTATATATATATATATATAAAATTTTTCATATATACATGCATGTGTGTGTATATATACATAATAAATATATAGAGTACACACATATATTTTGCAAACACAAACTTTTATTTTGGATGCGATTATTCGCGATTAATCGTTTGACGGCCCTAGTTTGTTTATAACCTACGGTTAGCTTTTTACTTCTGCCGATTGAATTTATGCTTCAAAATTCATCAAATCTGAGTTAATTTGTAAAGATGATCACGATGAACAAAACATGTAAGAACTATAAACTTCTGTCAGTTGTCAGATTATTGCTATCTTCTGCAATAATCTGAAAGCTAATGGAAAAATCCTGTTGGGTTTCTGTCGGGGGAATCTGGGTGATGCTAACAAAAATAAAAATACACTGCAAGTACTTTATTTACAGGCATTCAGAAATAGACCTTTTGCCAGTTTGATATTTTGAAGGGCTTTTAAAAACATTAAATGAATTATTTTCATTTGAATCTGAATCAGAACTTGATTACAAACACACTCGCAACAGGTTATTAGTTCTCACTGACAAAAGATGTCACCTACTTACTGCTCTGATGAAATACTTTTTCTCGTAATTTACAGACTCAAAGTGTTATCCTGTTATGATGTCTTTCCATTATTGCATAAATGCATCACATTCACAATGCCTACGGCAACACCATAGTAACACGGTGGCAGTTTTTGCTAGCTGGGGACATGTCTTCACAGGTGAGGAGAAAATTGTATTGAACTTGGCACAATTTAAGCATTACTCATGCATTAGCTATGATTAGTTGCAAGTGTGTGTGTGCTTATGAAATTATTGGTTTGACAAAGAAGAGATCCTACTGTTAACAACTGTAGTTCTTGTTATTTGGACAGATCCTTTCATTGTGGCTACTGTTGCCAGGGGGGCAAATATTTCTTGTTCCATTTTTTTATTGATGTATAGATGCCCACTAAGCCCCTCTGCTGCTGCTGATGAGTCAGACTATCCCTCCTGAACGCCTGACCAGCACAGCTGCTAACTTTAACTTATTTCTAACCTACTGAGGGAGGGAGAAATCAAGAGATAGACTCTTAAAGGGACAGTCCAACCAGAAATTTCGCCCTTGTGTCATTCAAGAGCTGTGTGCATTTCTTTTGAAACACGGACTGTTGGTAAACAGACAGTTTCAGCACCTATTGACATCCATAGTATGGACAAAAAATACTATGGAAGTTATTGGGACCCAAAACTGTTTGCTTCCCAACATTCTTCAAAATATCTTATTTTGTCTTTAACAGAAGAAATAAATGCATATAGTTTTGGAATGACTCGAGGTGAGACAACATATATTTTTGATTGAACTCCGGGAGTTAGGAAAGTTTTAATTCTGAGTAAGTAGTAGTTTCAGATTAGTTAGCTCACCAGTCTTTAAGGTGTCTGTTCATTTGACTCTTTGTTGATTTTTTGCTGCTTTTCCCTTTTTTGTCATTAAACTTCATCTTTTTTACCCTGCCCACCACAATTTGTTTTCAAATTCTTTTCCTGAACAGCTTTTTATGTTTGTCCCTAAGTTAGGTCTTAACAATTCCTCTAAACAACTAAATAAAAATGTAAAAGATAATATTTATACTATCACAGTGGGGCAATGGCAGAATGCATATTTTTTGCAATGATCCGAAATTTCTTATCTAAAACTACTTAAAAGTGTTTTGTATGTTTGGAATGCGATTCAGAGTTTTGTCCTCCTTGTACGGTTTTTGTAAGTATTTTTTTTAAATTATTTTTAATTCTATTATTTTTGTATGGGACAATCACACTTCACAGTCTATTATGGTTTGCATATTACAGTCTATGGTATATTACAGGCATGGACTGTATAGTACAGTCTATTATGGTCTATTATTAATTGTTCTAACTGTATATTCAAGGAGAAATTAGTCAACAATATGAAAGCATAACAATCGCCCTTCCTGTCATGGGAAAAGCTTCATTATGGATAATAATAAGCATTTGGCGCCCTCTGGTGAACATTTTTCTGCACTTATTGTTCTAATTTATTATTATTATTATTATTTTTATTTATTTTTGTATTGGTCTAATTTATTCTAGTTTGCTGTTATTGACTTTATCGTCATAGCCGAGTAACTTTCTACAAATGTTCTATTTAATTCCATTTCAATTTCATTACTAAACAAAGTAAAAGATTTGATAAAAAGACAAGTTTACAAAAAATAACCCACAAAAAATATGAGTTAACTGCAAACACGCTATTTTTTCATATTTTGTTTTAACAAGAGAAACATGATACACTAAAAAAAAAAGTGGTGAAGAATTTTCTTTGAAACTATTTTCACACATATTGCTAGCAAATTTCACAAATAGTTACAAAGAAATGGTAAGTGACGCACTGAATTAAATGTGGATATTAAGTAGAAAACTGAAATAGTAGTTTCTTGAAAAATCGACTCCAATAATCTGTTTTATTTAAAACTTCAAAAATCTTTTTACAGTGTATGATATAACAAAACAATGATATTTAAGGCCTAGAGAAAATCTTCATGATATTTTCAAGTGGGAGGAAAAAAAAAAAAATCCAGCAGCCCTTTTGTCTACATAAGGCAGACCAACCCTCATGTGTTTGACATCTGGTATCTGATTGAACCATGAACCCATGAGAGCTGTTGAATTGTAATGGTTATGCAGGCGCCCTGCCATGTCACCATCCAATAAATTAGACAATCATTTACCAGTGATCTCAAAACAAAATATTGATATACTGCTTGGAGGCTTTTTATTGTCTGTTAATTTTTCACTCACATTAAAATTGTAACACTTGTTAGATTTTAACACTATTATTAAGCATTATTCACTAAATCAGCAGAGGTCTTCAGTATATAAAGTTATTTATGTCTTTTTAACTGAGGACTTTTATACATGTGGTTAAAGGCACGTGTGGACAGTGGGCATGGTGAGACAGTTGGACATTTCTCTTGGCATGTCTGCTGCTTGTCCATGTGTGAAGACCTCCGGTCCGGCGTGTGTGGCTAGCAGGGGATCTTCAGACAGAGCTGATGCATTCAAAAGATCAGAATGACAAAAGCGACATTAATAATGCAATTAATGAAGTAACATTGAATTGAAGATGCTTTGCAACAATGTACTGTAAAAACTTTTTTTTTTTTTACATTTTGTGGCAGAAACAAACAAACAAACAAAAAAACTGAATTCCGAGATGTAAACTCAGAATTCCAAGAAAAAAGGCAAAATTGTGAAAAGTAAATTCTGATCAATTCTGAATTGTGAGATTTAAAAAAGACATAATTGAGAGATAAAAAGTCACAATTACCTTTATATATATATATATATATATATATATGGGAAACTACCATTTATAGTTCAAGATTCCAGCTTTTCAAGCCTTATACTTCATCCGAACATAAATATTATGTTATTACACAAAGCTATCATATGACTTTAAAAGACTTGGAGTATAGTTCATGGGTCATATGGGCTATTTTTATGCACTGTAAGAAAAGCATCAGTAGAAAACGGACAAGGTGTTGGTAATTATCTGCCAGAACCTTGACAGATATTTCCTTTAACCCTAAAACACAACGCAAAAATACAGTTAAAATACCTGAGATAAACCAATATGGAAAATTAACACAGTATATTGGCAGTATTTCTTATATGGGAGAAGCTCCTGGTCACTGCTTTCATCGAATGGGAATCAGCAGCATGGACATTGTGCAAAATATCTTTTTATGTTCCATGGAGGTACAAAAAATCATATGGGTTTGGTACGACATAGAATGTTGATTTTTGGGTGAAATATCCCTTTAAACTTTATAGGATTGACAGTTCCACTACCTGTGCTTGAGATACTCACAGGCGGGTACAGGAAGGATCACGGATGTGAAGTTAGGGATTGGGATATGCTCCGTCAGTATTCCTCTGGAGAGGACAGACTCTGTAGCTGTGGTGAATAAAAGTGGCTCAGGATTTGACTCTACAGAAAGGTACAGAAAGGTAAAAAAGCTACTGTTTTATTCCATTTCCAACCTGTTCATACTTTAAATGTAAGTCTGAAAGGTGCCTACATTCCCTCAGATAAATAATGGTGGGTCTTATCTTAAGACTGAGAGCTTAGACTGAGACAGATGGACTCTGGACTGAAATCTCCTATGGAATCTTAACCAGCTCTGAAGTTTATGCTAGAGAAATCATAAACGGTAACTCTACAGTAACACTCCATGATGTCTCCGGACCAGCACTGCTCACCTAAATCCAAGAGTTTATATACGGATCCTAAATCGGCAGTGTGGCAACCCAGAGGAACATTTTATAGTTCAGGAGAATTTTTGGAATGCTCAGCTATCTTAGATTTTTGATTGAATTTTGTCTCATATGTTCCTCCTAAAATTCCTTCAGAGAAATAAACATAGAGTAGAGAATTTGTTTGACATATAATATGAGTGTAAGCGTGAATAGAGCACTTATTACACAAATAATTCACATTGAGAAAATATAATTGAGTGCAAATTGACTATAATGTTTTCGGACACTTAATTGTTACAATGTTAGCTGCTAAAATGAAAATGAAGTAAATTAACTTGTATTATAGTTTACATTTATATTAAATGCAATTAGGTGAATTTTAGAGTGCTTTTTTGACCCACTTAAGTAGGATTTAAGTACATACCTTTTCATAATTTTATTGTCTTTCAAATATGGTTGAAGTGTACTGCTGAAGCATTTATGGTAAAATAAAATATACTTTAAATGTAATTTCTATCAAAACTATGTCATGCATGTAAAATATTTTTAATTACACATTTGTAATGATAAAGTTGAAATTTAGTACATTTAAAAGATATTAACTTTACATGAATAATGACAGGAAATGTATAATAAATGTTTAATAACAGTACTTTACATAAGATTTAGTAGGTTCATCAAAATAAGAGTACTTTAAAGCACAACAAAATATTAGTCATATAATTATTAAAACATCATGTGAAATTTACTTTAAAGTAAAATTCATTTGACATTATGAAAAAAATATTTAAAAAATAAATAAACATACATTAAAAAAATTATTAAAAATAAATAAATAAAAAAGTGTACTTAAGTGTGTTAGGTGTGGCCACTTAAGTTGCCTTTTATTTCATTAATATTATATTATCTGCAAGTATAGTAATTTAAAAAATATATATACATTTAAGATTTAAAAGTACACTACAAGTGCACATTTAATTCAATCAAGCACTTCTTTTTTTCAAGGGTAGCCTTGTAAGAATTTGATGAGAAATGAGTTCATCATCTTTTTTAATGGAGACACATGTAAGATTTTGTCAGGAGACAAATCTGGGAAGCACAAGACTTCAGCAAGTGTCTTAATTTGCTCTCCATTTAATCTCACGGCTGACTAGGAGAAATCATTTGCGATTTTTCTTTCCTTCGGGACAAAGCACATTCGTTTTATACCTGATGCTGGCAGTGCTTCAGATCCTCTGGATGCTTCTTCTCCCAGGAGCATCTCCATCAGCAGGCTGTCCACACTGGCTTTGCCCAGGAGACGCATCAGCTGCAGCTGCTCCACCATCTGCCAGGCCACACTCTGGAGTGTGGTCAGCAACAACAACAGCTCCCCAAACCGGCCTCGCTGCTCGCTCGTGGCTTCATCCAGCAGCACCTGGGCCTGGAATCGCAGTCGGCGCACTGCCTGAGAGCACTGCAGTCCAGGACAGTCTGAAACACACACAGAGTTCAATGACATCAGTTGCAAAACAAAGTTCATTGAGAGATGTATCAAGACTGGATGTATTGGATAGCCGAGATTTGTATGTGCATGTCTGTCAGAATTTCTGTAAACATTTTTATCTGTATAAGCAACAATCTCAGACAGATTATTAAACTCTTTGGACAGATGAGTTGAAACAGAAAAAAACTCATACATTTCAAATCATGAATCGAAAGCAAGCCAGTTCTTCAGTTCTGAATTTTGTCCAACACTTTTGTACAGTTTTTTTCCGTACACTGTAAATATTTTTCAGTCAGATTGGGAGCATGTTTAAGAAGAAAATAGCATTTAATAGCATTAGTTTCGTTTCATTCATTTCATTACTTGACATTTCTTTGTAATTGTTTGTGAAATTTAATTGCAATTTCTGAGCGAAATTGGTTACACAAATTCAAATCACAAAAGACTAACAGGACGGAAATTATTTACACATGTAACACATACTGGATACAATCAATTGCAATTAACATTTTCAAGAAAATACACAGAAAAAATATATTTGAAATATATGCAATGAAATTGATACCAAACCAAACATTTTTCAGACACCAGATATAATTCTTGATATTTTTTTTACTAGTGTGTGCTGGACACTATAGTTCATTTATGTAAGTGAGGATAGCAAAATAAAGTAAACTGTGATATATTGTACCCAAAAATTCTTCATACAGTGAACTACCAGTAAAACTGATACAAATTTGGGACCAAAAATTATTCAGACACTTTGACCATGTTTTGCTTAAGTGTTATCTGACATGATCAAGATGAATTTGTTTGGACACATTTTGACTCTGAGTTTTTGTCATATTTTATTACCATTTTCTTTTATAGCGAATAAACTGTAATAATGTGTGAAATATTGAAGGTGTCTGAATTAAATTTTGGTTTGACATTCTGTAGTTTCTACGTTCATATGCCAAAATCAAAGCTTGATTTAAAATGATTAAATAATGTTTAATTATGTTTTCTTTTTTTTTTCTTGTGCAATGTTCCTTGACATTTTTTTTTGTCAAATGTGTTACTTCTTCACACGTTATAGACAACAAATAAAGTTTTTCTTTAAATGTGACATGTTAATGTATTTTTTTGGATTGAAATATGTGGAGGGAAACATATATTTTTAAGTATAGTATATATATATATATTAGCACAAATAAATAGATTAAAAAATACTGCCAAAAAAGGGAGAAAACCTGTAATATTTTACATTTTAGATTTTCATGTTAGATCGTAGCACATGGGGAGAAAAATGTCAACCTCTGCTGAATCCAAAGTAAATTAAACAAAGCAATTCTTACTGACCAACCTGGCTCCACTCTTATAATCAGACCTCCAGGGCAACAGGCAGGAAAGTCTAGAACTCAACACCAGCATGCCCAAGATATTAATAGATCCCCCATAAAACATCATGAAACCAAAAAAGACAGTACAACCAAAGAGTGCCAAGAACAAGTGCAGACGCTCTTGGCACGGACAGTGTGTTTGACTAACCTGGGGCAAAGAAGACGATGGTTTTGAGACAGACAAATTCAGTGTCTGTGATGTTCAGCTCTTTCAGAGGTCTCACCAGCTCTTCCAGGATACGAGTGGCTACCTTGGACATCTCCTCCTCGGTGCCTCGAACAGGAATGATGAAGTATTCATAAATGGGAACATTTATACAGTGACAATAAAATTAGCAAGACGCCAAACAGGACGGAAGCTAACAGGATGTAAATAAAGCCTCGAAATCAGTAATATTTTAGTATCATTAAGATACTATTATAGTGTTTTTTGTTTTGTTTAATATATTTAATTATTTTTTATTTTTGTATTTTTGTTTTCATTTTACTTTTAGTTAAAGTTTTAATAATTTTGTTGTGTGTTGTTGTCATTTTAAAATATATTAATATTAAAAAATATAAATATATTAAATGTAAATTATGTTTAATTATGTCTATATATTTTTTATTTCATTTTTAGTTTGTTATTTTAGTACATCAATAAAAAAACGAATTGGCAACTAGTTGAAATAAAATATTTTACTTTATTTCAAGTAAAGAAAACTAATTTATTTAGTTATCTATCTATTTATGTATTTATTTATTTGATTATTTTTTAAACAAAAATGTTTTCATTTTAGTTAACTATAATAACTCTGCTTGAAAACGGAATTTTATATATATATATATATTTTTTTTTATTTTTTTTTTATTTTGTTTAGTTAACAGGGACATGCACATTAATAAAACATTTCTGTAAATGTACCAGAATTAGCCAAAGGCTATTTTTCATCCGTAGTCTCTGGACAGAATGTTACAAAAAAAAAAAAATTGTAATTTTAATATTTTATTTAATGTATTTTAATATTTTATTCAATATGTACAATATGAATGGGACATGAAAATGTAGTGCATAACAGGAATGGCCCATTTTCAAATGAACCTAATCCAGCCACTCACTCACCCAGCAGGATGATATCATTGTAAGGAAGCGAACGTCGTGCCACCCCTAAGATGAGGTGCTCAGCGGAGTGAGCTCCTGCTACAGACAGGAAGTGACAGTTCATGATCAAACAAACACCCAGGAACAGGCCTACCCTGTCATCCACTGACAGCTCACAGAATTCAGGGATGAGCTTTGCCCATTCCACTAGGAGGAGGAGCTGCTGTTTCATGGATTCACACACATCACCCACGCCAGCTATCTTCTTGGTTTTGATGTCCCTCATGAGATTCTGGGAGGGGTTCTGTAGACGGCAGAATGACTCTGAGCTTGATATAACAGAGTAGTTTAGTTACATTTGCATTTATGCATTTCCCAGACGCCTTTATCCAAAGCGACTTACAATAGAGGAACATATGCAATTGACCCTTCGCAAAGACCCATCCCCTTTAGTTACTGTTGCTATGTCCGACAAACCATGGCACTCTTACACCACACATCATGTTCTCAAGCAGTGAAAAATACATCACAGAGCAAAGAAGAAACTGACAACGTGCCGATAGACAAGATAGAGCAGGTTACTTTTGATATGAAACAAAGTCTTAGCTTTCAAATTTTGTAATTTTTTCAAAGAAATTCAAACAATAAAACCCGTTTTGTGGCTCTTTAATGTGTGGTGACAGATCGCTGTAGCACCTTTCCACCAGAGATGAGCAGAGGGTGAAGGTTTTGGAAAATGACTTTGTGCCTTGTTGTGAAGGAACAAGTTGAAGGTGAAACTGAACCAGCCTAAAAAATATATTTTTATAACTTGATTTGAGATCAAGAAGCAAACTGCATGAGGCAAAGCTGTGGTTCTGATGTGGTTTGGATATTTAATGTAATATCCAAGACTTTAAGGTTCTTCAGAAAACTCTGCTGAAGGGTGAATTAAAGAGAAATATCTTGATTTTCAGTTCTGTCATGACAACTCACGGAGGGATTGGCATGGTAATGTACATGACAATATTAATGTATTTGGTCTTGGCAGAATAGATCTGCTACGATACTGCAAAAACCTCCTACCGCAATTCCATCCACAACATGCTGCTGTAAGCATGTAAGAAATACTGCTGCTGCACATATAACACATATGAATAACCCCCATATAGCATACATAAATCACCCCGCAGCAGATCTATACAGGTGGAGCTGGGGAAGGTGGAGGATTTCTGAAGTGCGCTGCCAACTGCTACAGCAAACAAAAGCCAGGTATTTGAATATTGAGCAGCGAGTTCATTGGCTACCGATACAGGAGAGAACCAATCAGCTGCCATGTGACAATGATGTCACCAGGTCAGATTGAGCTAGACCTATCGGACTGCGCCGTCTAGAGTTTCATGCCAGAACTCTGTATATATATACAGTGGGGTAAAAAAGTATTTAGTCAGCCACCAATTGTGCAAGTTCTCCCACTTAAAAAGATGAGAGAGGCCTGTAATTTTCATCATAGGTATACCTCAACTATGAGAGACAAAATGAGAAAAAAAAATCCAGAAAATCACATTGTAGGATTTTTAAAGAATTTATTTGCAAATTATGGTGGAAAATAAGTATTTGGTCAATAACAAAATTTCATCTCAATACTTTGTTATATACCCTTTGTTGGCAATGACAGACGTCAAACGTTTTCTGTAAGTCTTCACAAGGTTGTCACACACTGTTGCTGGTATTTTGGCCCATTCCTCAAGAGCAGTAATGTTTTGGGGCTGTCACTGGGCAACACGGATTTTCAACTCCCTCCAAAGATTTTCTAGGGGGGTGAGATCTGGAGACTGGCTAGGCCCCTCCAGGACCTTGAAATGCTTCTTACGAAGCCACTCCTTCGTTGCCCGGGCGGTGTGTTTGGGATCATTGTCATGCTGAAAGACCCAGCCACGTTTCATCTTCAATGCCCTTTTCTGAAGTGCGCTGCCAACTGCTACAGCAAACAAAAGCCAGGTATTTGAATATTGAGCAGCGAGTTCATTGGCTACCGATACAGGAGAGAACCAATCAGCTGCCATGTGACAATGATGTCACCAGGTCAGATTGAGCTAGACCTATCGGACGGTTTCATGCCAGAACTCTGTATTTGTTCATTTTCATGCTTGTTTTGTCTTATTTTAACCCTTGTGCAGTGCTGAAAATCCCAACCTCATTGTGTTCCTGATCAGAAATGACCCTCCTCCTTGTAAATCTTTCATTCTGCTATATTATAACCAAATCCCGCATTCAACCTTGTTTTCTTTCAATTAGCACAAGTTTTGGAAAATGTTGTCAATGTTCACTGAAAATCTGAGGTGCATAAGTTCAGATCGATGAGGCCTATGATCAATCAGTTCCAAAAAGAAATGCAAAACATGCTAATTGAAAGAAACCAAGTTGATAAAAAGATGGAATCCAGGATTTGGTAATAATATAGCATAACAAGAAAATTATTATCTGTAGGCTGGCCATTTTTGATGGGGAACACTGGGAAAAAAAATCCCCCAAATTACAAAATATTATTGATTTCTTCTTCTTCTTCTTTTATATTATAGAGGTTGTTATACCCTGTGTCATACGTTATATACTTTCTGGGAAAAAGATAACAAGAAAAGCAAGTTCAGCAGAAAGCTTACCTGATGAGTGCAAGCCTCAGCCTGCATCAGCACATCAGTGGTGAGAGTCCCAACGCCTTGACCTTCTCTACGACAGCTGATGCGGTCACGCTCATTCTGAACAGCTAAGAGACAAAGAAAGATCGGTGAAAAATAATATCAATTTACCTAATGTGTTTCCTTATAGAAAACAGATAGCAATGTAGCCAGTGGATGCAAAAAAAAAGAAAAAGAAAAAATATATATAGATATATTGTAAATATTAGGCTTTCTAGTACCAAAGTGCACTTGTAGCTATCTTCAAATCTTAAAAGCATTGTTTAAAAAAACTTGTACTTGCAGATAATATAATATTGATGACAAAAAGCCACTTAAGTGTACTTGAAGGGAATACAGGCTATGTGAGATTTAACATTCATGACTATGTTTCTTAACACACTTAAGGACAATTTTAAAAATAATGTCAAATTAAAAGATTTACTTTAAAGTTCCTTTTAAATAATTGTTTTAATAATCTTTTGTTTTGCTTTAAATAAGTAGTTGACTAGCATACTAAAGCACATATGAAGTATGTTAGAATTTTAACTGCAGTGTGTTATTTGATATTACATTTAAGCAGTGTTGGGGAAAGTTACTTCTAAAAGTAATGCATTACAATATTGCGTTACTCCATAAAAAAGTAACTAATTACGTTACTTAGTTACTTTTTATGGAAAGTAATGCGTTACGTTACTTTTGCGTTACTTTTTAAATCTGATTAATATATTTTAAATGCATTGACTTGCAGTTTCATCACTACAAATGTGTAATTACAAGTCTATTTAAATACATGACTTAAAAGTTTAAATAGAAATTACATTCATTAAAGTATATTTTAGTTTACCATGAATGCTTGTCAGTACATTCAGCAGTACACTTTAACCAAATTTCAAAGACAATATAAATAATTATGACATTATGATATACTTAAGTGCTACTTAAGTGGACCAAAATATTCAACTGTAATATAATAAAATTTAGACTATAATGCATTTTCATTTAATTTCCATTAAGATGCAGTTAAGTGTCTTAGAACATTACATTCAGTTCACACTGAAAAACAGCCCTGCTCAATACAAAAAGAGCATAAAGTGGAAATAAGTACAATTTATGTGGACCAACCTGAGACACCATGCAACATTTTCAACCAAATCATTGTAAGGCAGCATTCTATTGAGGCTTAGAGTTTCGCTGACAAGTGAAAAAGCTACAGGCGCATCTTCCTCAACGAAGAAAATGACTTTTAGCACTTTAAAGAGACATTGATACACCTGGGTCTCATTGTGGCATTATTATTCACTCAGCATTGCTGTATTTCTGGAGCTGTGTTACTTATTACATGGACACAGCTTCATCCTACTGAAAGCACAAGCTCTATTCCATAGATGGAAAGGACACTGTGAAACTTGGCATCTTTAAAATGATATTTGACAAGATGTCTTAAACTCATGGCTCAGAACAATACCTTTATAAAGTTTTAAGCAATGGCCCAGATACTTTTCTATTGTTCCCCTTCTAGGGAACTCACGCTGAGTCATCTAGCAGACACTATGGGGACTGCCGCCAGCAGGGCTGATGTCTGAAGCATGTGTGAAACAACTCCAATCACATTGGCCCACGTAGCCCGTGCCGTCACAGGCGGGCACAACTTGTGTTGTCTTCAGGAACCGTTTGTTTGACAGTGAGTGTGAAGGCGTTATGGAGAAACCAAGGCAAGTGAGTTTTTTAGAAAGTGTGTGCCTCCGTGTCTGAGGTTTCTGACACCCGAGGACACACTCGATCCATGCATTACGTGTCATGGTGAGGAGCATGTGCGTTCTCATATCCAATGAGAAAACTCCATTCGTGTTCGTCCCTCTTCTCGAGGGATGAGGGATAAACGTAGGGTGCGAACTACGGGGGAGCTAGGGTGAGCTCGGCTCCCCTTAATAAGACATGGGCTCCCCTGAAAACGGGATTTGTGAAATTTTGGGGGGTCTCAAAAAATATTGACAATGTGTTATTTTGACGTGCAATTTCGGTTTTGTGTAATGTGATCATCGTGGATTATTATGTGTAAAATTGCAAAAATATCATTCATCATGCATGACGGTGATTTAAACCTAATTCACTTCAGTTAAGATAACTATACATGCTATTCTTGTCATGAGCATCAAGGTGTGGGGGGCACTGTGGTGCAAATTCCACTCATGTTTAGTACATGTTAACTTAAAGATTCGTAGAAAAAATATAAACGTTGGACTCTGGTCGATTCTGTGTTAAGGTAAGGCATGTTATTCACAATTATGTGTTGTGGCTGGGTTGTTATAGGTCTGCGTGACTCTCGATGTCTTAGTCCTAATTGAACGGAGGAATTATGGTATTAATTATAGTGCTTGCATAAAGCAAGTAGTGCATACACTTGTAGCTGTTATGTATCTTTGTAATTCATTGTAAGCCCCCTTTTGAGGCACGCGCAAGTGCACGAACACTCCCCCCTCGTTATAAAAAAAAAACAAACAAGTAGGCTCCCCCAAAGTCCACGGTATAGTTCGAACACTGGATAAACGTCTGCGTCTCGCAGTTCGGGTCCCGCTGCTGCTGAGGCACGGTGATGACTCAGATTGTGGGGTTAGCAGGTTGAGCTTGTAGAAAAGTTTGAGAAGGGTATAAATCTTTTGAAAGCTTCCACTGCAAGCTCAGGCGCTTGACGGGATCCAGACACTCTTTCTCTTGAGTTATTGGATCCCGGGGAATAGCGCTATATAGTGTTCATCTAGTGAGAGTGAGGGCGTGGATGTGGTTGGTGATGATGATGATAGTGTGAGCACTAAATCCTCCCAACCTAACCCCAGCCTTGCATACGGGAGTAATGCTGGGAGTAATGGCATGCGCCACTAAGAGACTTGATTTAGTGGATGAGGTGCTTGCAAGCTTTCTCTCCCAGGGTGAGTTGTCTTCTTTAAGGACTTCTGCTCTGCCATCCAGACCACTTCAGAGCACCTCACGTCTGAATGGCAGGGCGTATGTGGTGGCAGGTCAAGCTGATGGAGCCTTTCACACAATGGCTGTGTTTCAAGCTTACCTAGCTGTCTTACTTAAAGACCTAGATGAGGGCAAGGGTTTGTCCCCTGAGGCAGTTGAGGAACTGCGCCACATCACATACTTGGCTTTTCGAGTCATTAAGCAGAATGTGGATTGCGTAATTGGGTGTGCAATGGCAGCAATGGTGGCTACGGAGTAGTATTTGTGGTTAAATCTCATGGATATCGGGAGGAAGGAGAAAGCCTTTCTTCTTGATGCTCCGCTGTCACCTTCCGGGCTTTTCAGCACCTCTGCTGAGGCAGTGGTCGAGAAGTTCAGGGAGGTGAAGGTGCAGTAATGGCTAAGTGGGCATTCCGTTTCCCATAGTGTCCGCTAGAGCACACAGCGTGAGTTCCCTAGAAGGCGAACGTCTCGGGTTATGCATGTAACCATGGTTCCCTGAGAGGGAACGAGATGCTGTGTCCCCGTGACATGCCTAGGACTTGCCTGTTTTCACATCTCCTTCAGACAAGTATATTACATTTTATATGACGGTTTTGGGGTTTTGGGAATTGCCTTATTGTAATAGTATGAGCTCACCCAGTTGTTCAATATCTTTTATTCAGAGAGAGTTGCAGACATTCATAAGTATTGGGATATGTCCAATAACTCAATTAGTTTATATGCAGGCCTAGTCAATATCCGTGACCTTGAAGAAACTCTTTAAACTCTGAATCATAAACTAAAATGAAATGGGCTCATGCTTTCACCTTCTTTCCTCATGCCGGCTCTGAAGCACTTTCGAAGTCTGCAGTATCGACATTGGTTTCTTTTGTCTTTGTCCACCACACACTGCCTGCTGAACCTTCACACACAGAGACAGAAGTACACAGGCTACTATAATTCTCACATTTGAAGAGATCCAATGAAACACTTCAGGTCATGCTCTTACACATTCTGACGACGGTGGTCTCAGATCACAGATTACTTTTATAGAGGACACAGACAGCTGAGTCTTCAGTTGAGCTGTGACGTTGTACAGGATTGTATATGTAGAATACAAATTTATATTGGTTGCATTTCAAACATGAATTATTAATAATACTATAAAAATACATATAAATATAAAAAATGCTAACTGTATTTTGTAAATGATATAATGTGCATGATGAAATGTAAATAGTTTTTTTTTAATGCTGATTTTTCTTTTCTTTTTATGTTATTTTAGTATTATTTATATACTATTATAGTTTTTATTAATGTTTTGAATTAGCTTAATATTTGTGCTATGTGCTTTTCTCATTTCTATTTTTTTTCAGTTTTATTTTTTTATTTATTTCCAATTTGTAATTTTAGTGCTTCATCTTTAATTTCAATTAGTCGCCAAGGCAAAATTAAAATGTTTAGTTTTTTCTCTTCTAATACTTATATTTTATTTTATTTCAGCTTTATTTAAACTAACAAAAATATTTTATCTTGTATTTTGCATCCTATAATTCTGTTACTGTTACTTTAAATTCCAATGTTTCATTCATTGCCAGTGTTTATGGGACCCTACACTGGCTTTCATTGTGATTTCAACGAGTATTAATTAACAAACAGTATCTGTAAAGTAATTCATGAATTTTAAAATCCTTCTATATTGTTTACCGCTCTTACTGCTTTGTCTAACCACAATTCATAGAGGCCACACAAGCATGTTTAGAAATGAATTAAAAAGGAATTGCAAGTATGTTAAGCTCATATAGTGGAGAGATGTGAATCTGATGGTGAGTTCTCACCGGCATGTGTAGGCATGGTTCTTGCGCACACTCCTTCTGAAGAAGCCCTTGCAGCCATCGCAGCTGGACGCACCATAATGTTTCCCCGTAGCTCTGTCTGCGCAGATAGCGCAGAGATTCACGCTGCTCTGCTGCGGCGCAGCCACTGGTACTGATGCAGGCACGTAGCATGGTATTAGTGGCTCTTCATTGGAAAAAGAGTAGCAAAACAAAATTTGACATCTGTAGCATCACTTTTTTATTTTATTTTATTTTTTACATTTTTGAAAGAAGTCTCTTATGCTCACTAAGGCTGCATTTATTTGATCAAATAATAGAGTAAAAACTGAAATATTGTGAAATATTATTACTACTTAAAATAGCTGTTTTCTATTTTAATGTATTTTAAAATGTGATTTAGTGATGCATAGCTGAATTTTCTGCAGTCATTATCACTTCAGTCTTCAGTGTCACATGATCCTTCAGAAATCATTCTAATATGCTTATTTGGAGCTCAAGAAACATTTATTATCATCACAGTTTTTGCTTAATATTTTTGAGGAAACTTTTTTACAGGATTCTTTGATGAATAGAAAGTTCAAAAGAACAGCTTTAAAAAATATATATGTTTTGTAACATTATAAGTATTTACTGTCACTTTTGAATTGATATAATTTTCAATTTCCTCCAGTGGAAAAGTCCATCCCCTGTTGTCCTCTCACATCAAAATCCACCTACATACTTGTTTAGATCTGTTTTGGACTGATCTGTGCATAATTCTCTCCGGATTCAGATTAAATGACTTTTTCACTGGAGATAGCAATATTATGGACAGGAAGCAATGGTTCGAAGTTAAAAATGTCTTGATATTTTTTTCCTTTTTCTTAAAAACACAACTTTTTACTTCACAAGACGTTAATTGATGGACTGGAGTGGTGTGGATTATTTGTGGATTACTGTGATATTTTTATCAGATGTTGGGACTCTCATTCCGAGGATCCATTGGTGAGCAAGTGACGTAATGTTACATTGCTCCAAATCTGTTCTGATGAAGAAATAAAAACCCATCTACATCTTGGATGTTTTGAGAGCGAGTAAAATTTCAGCAAATTTTCATTTTTGGGTGAACTGTTTAGGACAATAAAACTGAATTTATCTGAACTTTAGCTGCTTTACTTTACTTTTGGGTGAAGTTAACAATATATTTATTATTATTATTATTATTTTTTACATAAAATACAATTGAGAAAAAATTTACGTCAGTGCCCCTGATCCATGACGTAAACGATTGCAATTCTAACTGTGCGGAGGAAATGTGTCCAATCACCCAGTGGATTATCTGCCTGGCGTCTGTATTTATTATTTATTATCTGAGTGTCTGTATTTATTACTTTGCGAAAGAGAAACTCCATTTAATTAAACAGGTCAGTGAAAAGATTCAGTCTACTGCTATTTCCCAGGTAATTTCGCAGTGTTAGCTAAAATTGAATTCAATTCCCTCATGTGTTGCATTAAATTGCGCACAGAATTTGATTGCCACCAGTTTGCCTCCCAAGCCAGTGAATGTCACATCTTCAGGAATAAAGCCTAATGTACGCAGATAATACACTCAGCACTTTAAAGCCACTCAGAGAGGTAATATGCTCTAACATACAGAACGCCTCTGGGTTCAAAGGGCAGTTATATTATATTAAGAGTCTACAATGCTTCTGGCACCCACGCATGTGTGCTTTGGTAAGATGGATCCAGTATGTCTGAATCAGCAGCGCTTCTAATGATTAAAGAAAATGTTATTATAATGGAAAGCAGGAACAGGTTGAAGTGGTGGCTTTTGAAAAGTCCTCTTATGACCAGACAGTAATTGAAATAGCAGCATCTAATGTCATTGTGAAGTTACCTTGTAGTGCCCTGCTCTGTGATCGAATGGCCTAAATACTCAAGTATGGAAGAGTTTAACAATGAGAGTGGTTAAACACATGCTCTACTTGGCTTGCACTGCAGTTCTCCATGTTCACTGGCAGCAGACATGCATACAAACTGCTGACATTTAAACATTTATCTTTGTGTTTGTTTGAACTCGACCGTGCATGTAGTGTATATGCTACTCAAATGCAATACCAATCATATTCAAACAAGCCTCCACTGCTGAAAAGACCAACTTTGCTGATCAACAGCATAAATTGTGTTTTGGAAGCTGGGCTGGAGAATGGGATGCTACTCTGTGGGATTGTTAACTAGGTCAATGATGGTACACTCATTTTTTGCTTTATCTAGCAATTTATTTACATTTCATTTCAAGAATGTCAGGGTGAGACAAATGTCTCGATATTATAATGAAGAAAATGAATGAATGAGGAATGAAAAGAATGAGGAAAAAGAATAACGTTCTTATATATATATATATATATATATATATATATATATATATATATTGATTATACCTTATAATAAAGTTTAATTTAACTTAACTACATTAAAGTTAACTACATTAGTTAATAGTTAACATGACCTACGATTGAACAATACTAAAATATTTATATACTAAGACATTAACTTTTACTGATATATTTTTAAGATCAAAATTTGTTAATATTAGTTAATGCACTGTGAACTATCATAAAGTAAGATCAAATGTATTTTTTATTCATTAACATTAACAAAGATTAGTAAATACTGTAATACATGTATTGTTCATTGTATGCTCATGTTAGTTAAACATTAGCTGACATTAGTTAAATCTTATTGTATAGAGTTACCATATAAATGTATAGGCCTACAGATAGGCTACGTTTATTTGCGTTCATTGCATGTCATTATATTATTAACATTTCACCAAAATCAAGTTCAAATACGAAGTTGACCAGCGAATGTTTTTTTCCCCCTCAAACAAATCCCTTGTTTGTCGCCAGAGCTAACCTTTTTAGGCCCTGTCCACACGAACGCAGGTATATATACCGCAGCTTTTTCCATGCAGTTTGGCCGTTCGTCCACACGCAAACGCAGCATAAGGTCACTGAAATCGAACATTCTTGAAAACTCCTGCCAGGGTGAAGATTTTCAAAAACTCCGGTTGCAGTGTTATCGTGTAGACAGCAAAACCAGAGATTTTGGCTTGTGACATCAGAGCATGTGCTGTTATCTCCGCCTACTGGAAACTTTTTCAGACTTCTGATTAGCCAACATGGCTTTACGGTTGAGATTAATGTTCGTTTGGCATGTTCTTGACCGTGCTCCATAGCATGCTTTTGCGTTTTCAATGTGTTTTCATGTTTCCATGACAACCAGTCACCTTCACCTGTCCCTTGTGAGCGCCTAGTTTTCCGGTGTTTTCCCATGTTCTTTGTCTGGTGTTGTCTTTAGTGGATGTATTGTGTGACTTGTTTTGAGTTCTGTTTTGCCCCTGTTTACTCTGTTTTGTATTAACTGTGTTTTCTGCCAGTGTCTCCCATTGCTGGAATTCTCTCTTGTGATTTTGTTCAGGAAGTGCTACTTGTATACACCGCTTTCTTGTTTCTGAAGCACTCAAGGCCCAGATATTCTTCACTTTCCACATTCTGTATGCTCAAATGCGGATGAGCGCGGATGGACGAGTTTGATAATTATGCAAAAGCATCAAGTAGACTCATTCTGTCTCAACATTCACTTCGCGCCTGTGCTGT